CTTTCTCTGTGTAGACGTGTGGTGGACTTTGAAACATTGGGATATTGTAATTTTGGAGCCATGAGTTTTGAGTATAGTCTTGTGTTGCTTTCTGCACAATAAAGCTTTTTTATGGACTCAAGTGTCCTCAGTGTTTTAATGGATAGCAGTTTAAGCTCTCTGATAAAAACGTGTTTTAAGAAGTGACTTAAAATTTAAGAATAGAATAGAATAGAATAGAATAGAATAGAATAGAATAGAATAGTATAGAATAGAATAGCATAGAATAGAATAGGAAATACACTATTTATCCCAGGCCTGGGAAATTATTGTGATACAGCAGCAAAAAAGAAAAACACTGATCACAACAGAAAGGGCTAAAGTTAAATACTATTTAAAACAATTTAAAAAATAAATAAATAAAATAACTGTACAGAATGTGCAAATTGAAAAAACTGCAAAAACAAAACATTTTCCAGAGCAGAGAGCTAAAGATGCTCTCTGCCAGACAGAGGTGAGGTGTTGTACAGGATTAAATCATAGTTTAATCCAATTTAATCAGAATTTAGTTTCTCTAAATAACTCAACACACTTTGTAATTGCTATTTGGGCCTATTAGACTTTTATTTTTATTAAAATACGCGCCTTGTTTATTTCCGGCCACGGTCGGAGACGGCTGCGTCTTGTTACCATGGTGACGGAGATGCCTCAACTTTTTAGTACCGGTGTGAACAACGGCAAGAAATTTCCGTTCCCCTGCTACACCAAAATAAAGAAAGTTTCTGTGGAAAAAGTCGTGTTTGAGACATGTCAAAAATATTCAAAATCACAAATCTTTTCAAATAAATGAAATATCTTAATATCTGGTAGAGGGACGGGTTATTTCTCACCGCACGGAACCAACGGTAAAAATAAACCGTAAACAAACTCCTGGTAGCAACCAGCATAGCAACGGGTTCAGCGGACTCACACTCATACACACCACAGCTGTGTGCTGAGTTCAGAGAAGATGTTCAAAAACACATTCCAAAGTGGATTTTTATCCATATTATACAGTATCGGCAGCAAACCGCTTCAAACATGGGAGAAAAAGGTAAGCAGCGATTTAGAAAAAATGGTACGAACCTAATGTTAGCTTCCGCGGCTAGTCGTGTTAAAGTTAGGCGAGCGTCATGTGTTCATTCTTCAAACTGTCACCTCTGCAACTACACCAGCTCTCAGTTATGCTTCAGTATCTATTGTTAGTCGATCTTCACAGCTGTTTCCCTTTTTCCTGATATATTCTAAACTAAATAGGTCGTGGTGGTCCTTAGCGCCAGCGTCGACCTGGTGGGACTTCGGGGACCTGTGGCGTTGATTAAATGTTGAAAATCGTTGCATTGAAATGCTGCTACGTTTATTTAAACAAAAGTTTTGAATCGACAAGAATGCACTATTCCAAAGCAACACTTACAAAAAGTAAAAGTGGAAGTTATCGTTTGTTTAGGACAGTTTCAAGTCAGTTTACACCATCAAATACTCGCTTCGTTCATCATCCTGGCTGCTTGCTCCTACATCAGCATCTGAGTTACAGTCAGACTAATGCTGATGTTTGACAGATTGATAAATATAATCAGCCCTTCATGTTTTGGCATTTCTGTGGTCAGAGCAGGAAGCTGCTAAATTGATAACGTAGAATCAGAACCTGCTCTACAAGCAAGAAAAAAAAAAAGAAGCAGTGAAGTCTTGCATTTCACAAATAGAATAAAGGTTGCATGGATTGTTGTGTTTTTCATGTTCTTCAGCCCCTCATAAACAATCTAGTTCAGATTTGACCATCTAAGTGATTTTAGATCTAAACTTGAGCTAATGTCGACCAGATCTGGAAAAAAGCAGTGAAGACTTCTTTTTTTTTTAAATTTTAAATTTTGCATTTACACAGATATAATAAAGGTTTCACAAATTCAAACGTATGTTTCAGACAGCATTAAGGGTTTGCCTAAAATTTCTAAAACACTTTTACATAAATAAAAAATAGAAGAAACAGAGAATCAGTAACAAAGAGCTTTAAATTAAGTTTCCCTCAACCTTGTTCCTTATCAGCCAAATGGTAAAGTGCCACTCTGAACCTAACTTCGGCATCATTGGACCTTTTAGGAAACAGCTTGATTTCTCACAATAAAACAAGAAAAATCTATATTTCTGTGTATTCACAGGTGAGGAATGGTCACATCAAGAGAGTCCCGGACAATGACATACATTCAAATGTGTTAGAAGTTGAGGGAGCAAATGTCAGGTGAGTTTGTGTGTTTACTGATTCATCAGCTCAGGCTCACTCATTCAAACATTAGTCTAGCATCAGGCCTTATATATCCTCC